ATTAGGTCATTAGAACAGACATCATGTCTCCAAGATGGTGATGGATATGAGATCATCTGTCCAAGCAGAAACAGGAAGTGAGATTTTTGAGATGCATGAAGGAAACAGGTGCAGAAGGTAGACAGAGAACTTCAGAAAGTACAGCTCCAAGGGAACAAGGAAGTTCATCTGAAGTTGAGGCCAACCAAAAGGCAGTTGACGTCAAGGAAAAACGTACGTGAGGAAAGTTGTGTGGCTGCTGACAAGAAATAAAAAGACACCAGACAGAAGGATCGGGGTTCTTTGTTCCGCAGCGTTCGAGTCGAGCACACATGGAGATGCAGAATCAACGGAGGGCTGCGTGCTGATACCCCGGGACGATGAGACTGCTCGCTGCACAAGGAAGGAACAAGATCCGTTTACCCACAACCCGGGATTCTGATTCGACTGCGGCCCCACACTCAACCCAAAAGATTCCAACGATGCTGCAGTGGACATGGGGAATAGACAAAGATCGCATATGGATAAAGAACTGAGTTCATTGAGGATTCTCACCAGTTCACCTTTGGATCTATTCTAAAAAGGATTCTGCCAAGACAAAGACAGGACTCCATCCATGGATGTTAAAGTTCTCTGCTGCCAAGATCGTCTCTGCATCTGGGTTCAAGTAATACTGCCTCCCCCAAAGCCTCTATTTACATTAAGACACAGTGTAGGGTTTAGAATTAGGTGAAATCTCTAAATTTTCTTTAATCTATTGATTACTTAATCCTTTGTTAATTGCTGTATGTCTTTTCTCCCCTGCTAAAGCTTGCTAATAAAAATACTAAAGTCTAATTGACGTTGTGGACAGTTAAATTAATTAAGTCAACTAGATTTAATTCTTCTGATTAATGTGAAATCAATGTTAATGGTCCTAGTAAATCAGGGTGGCTTCGTACGTTCTTTATTTCAGATAAATAATGACCCTGGGACTTATTCCTAGTCTCTAAAATTATCTAGGCCGGAAACAAGTGCACGTTAATAACAGGGAAAGAGCTACCGTGAACAGACGTGGTTTATGAGCTCGGACACCGGCGGGGCTACTCCGATGTCTGAATCATGGACTGAAGCGGGTCATAACGTCTGGATGAAGGTAGTTAGAGCTTAGACGAATCTTTCTCGCTCCCAGCTTAAACAAAAGTTCTCTATATTATTTGCGGTAATACCCAGGAATTAGAAGCTTTTCGGACCCGTGAGACTGAGAGCTGGTCAGTAGTCAGTCCGCTGAAGGTTAGGAGGAGTTAGGGGCGTGGCTGAGTACTGTGGATTAACACNATGACCCTTTAAAACTGTTGAGCCCAACACCAGACCTCAGGGAGAAAAGATCCATGACAGACCCAAGGATTATCGAGTGGCTCAGATGGCCCTTTTGATCCAACCCTTGTTCTCACTAATACAATGCCTTTATGAACAATCCCTGAGGGAGAATCAGCAAGCAGGGTCAAACAGAGAAAAAAGAAGCTTCAATACTCTATGAGTCTATCTGTGTGGAGGATTGTTAATGCAGTCCAGATAAATCTTTGACCTGTACAGACAGATTTTTCTTGATTGAAGCTGGGGTCAGAAAGGTGATTCTGCACACTTAGAGCTGATATAGAAAATTAGGAGAAAATTATAATATGTCTTGCTTTAAGAATAGTTTTAAAACAAAGGAAAGCTGCTGTTATGTTTTCTGTCATGACAATAAATTACAACACTGATATTTTTTTTAGTAAATAACTGATCCCAGAGATGGCTGTGTTCAACATTGTAATTCATCAAAAATAATCTACAGGTCAAATATTTTCTGCTTACTTTGACAGGTTTTAAATGATCTGTTTGTAGCTGTCTCTTATGAAAGAGGAATAAAATCCTTCATTAAAAGATGCATTTTATGACGTTAAGCCATGTTCAGAAGAATTAAAAAAGAAAACCGAAAACCCACTGGATTTTTAAACAGACCCTTAAAAGAATGGGAGCCAGAGGAACATATTGGCTAACACGCTGCTCGCGAGTCATCTGTCATTTTCCTCCCTCTTCTATGTGGCTTGGAGACACCTGATTGGTCTGTCAAGGTTTCAGGAGTATGATGGGTTTCAGAGTGCTTTCACACCAACCCTGTTTAGTCCACTTTAATTGAACTGTAGTTCATTTGCCTCGAAAGTCCAGCTCATTTGGGGAGGTGTGTATGAATCAAACTGTGATGTGGACCAAACTAGCAAACTCTGTTCTGCCTAAAAACCTCGGTCTCAGTTCGATTGATGTGAACACTGGTCCTATTTAAATTCATGTGAACACCAAGCAGAAGGGAGTCTGCTCTAAAAGCAGGATGTGGACTCTAGTGCAGGGCATACTGGGTAAATACAACCAAAACAAAAGAGATTAATGAGAAATGTCTTGTGGTTTTCTGTCAAAGACAAATGAGAAATCCTACAACTGCTAAAAAAGAACACTGCTTCATTTCTGTGCACATTTTGTGATGAAGGAAGTTGCGTTCACTGTCTTATGTTATGCCGTATTGCTTTGTATACAGTACGTTATAACTCTATAGTGGCTTTGAAGTTCGGAGTGTTTCACAGAAAACATCTTTCACAAACTTCTGATGCCGCCTGTAAGCAGGGGGAAGAGACCAGGAAGAAACTGCTAATGATTTTCTTTTGGCTAAGGGCCAATCTGCCTCAGCCAGCTGCCTCTCTGTTTCCACGGGATCACGAAGAAGCAGAGGCACATAACTGCACAGCCACCTTCTTTCACATTCATAGAAATTTTAACCATTAATTCACAAGAATTGAGGTGAGTTCCAAAGCTGATGAAATATATGAGAGGAGCAGAAGCAATTTCTATCTTTAAGCCAACAGACACCCCCACTCTTTGCTTGGTTCTGCTGCTGCTGATCAGGGTAACTGGAGACCAAGCAGCTGATGTGCCGAAACTAGGCTGAAAGGTTTCTTCTTACTTTCTCTGCATCTCAGGCAATCTATGAAAACATCACCCCCGATAGAGGAAAAGCAAGGTGATGTAAACAAACGCTGTAATTCATATGACTGTTGCAAACAAAGCTGCGCTCCAACGCACCCCCCTTTTGTCTCTCTGCAGATATTTTTGTCTTGGTTCTTAAATCTCCCTTTACAGTACATAGCCAAAAAGAAAAAAAAAAAGTGTGTCATACACGCGTTGGCAAGTTGGAGCGGGAACATAAATGATTCACCGGCTCGCTGACTCTGAGGGGCCCACGGCTGCTCCGTGGGCGCAGCAGGAGACACGCTCAGTATGCGGCGCTGTTCGCGCAGGCAGGCAGCGGGGTGCCGCCGGTTGGCACATCTAGTAGATACTGACATCTTCAACAGGATTGTAGCAACCCACCAACCCTGACACCCCCACAGTCATCCTGAAACCAGACAGCCCTCCTCAGCACAGGCTGAAATAAGACGGAGGCTCATTCATACAGCGCTCTGTCTCATGATTCCTGCAGAAGAGAAGAGGGGTTTTCACAGCCTCACATCAACCTCAGCAAATAATCAGGCAGGAGTCGCAGCTCTTTTCCATCACACCAGTGCATAAGAACCTCTAACGTGATTTAGATGTCAGCAGACTCCCTCCGTCCTGTTGTTTTGCCCCTCTTCAGATCTCTATTGCTCCCTTTTCCCGATTTCTTCACCTATTTTTTTTTTCTTCATCTGCAGTGCCCTTATTATCAGCTGCTCCTCCATGAACATCAGGAGAGCTAGAATCAGGAGGTGGATCCAGTCTAACATCAAGGTTTTTAACTCCAATCAATGGATCCAAATTCAGTTATTAAAAGCACATTTAAAAAGAAGTCTGCCAAAGTCCCGAACATACTAAAAGTATAAAAGCAAAACAAAAACAAAAGTCAACTAACAACTAATCAAAGGGAATGGCGATGTTTAAAGGCAGTTTGTGTGCTATTACAGAAAAGGCTCGATCTCCTTTAAACGTCCACCTAAAAATTTTAGAGCAATCATTTAAAAAAAAAAATTAAAAATTAAACGTAGAATGTTACATTTCCGCATTTCTGGTATGCCCCTAATTCTGATGCACAAGTAATATTATATGCAAACATCGATGGATGACGAAGCCGCTTTTCTTCGCCCACAGGAATCAATTTTTGATTCAAAAAACTGTGGAGTGAAAATAGTCTCAAAATCTCTGTGCGTGCGTAAAAAGATTTGTGTGGGTGTAAAATGATTTGTGCGTGTGTAATACTCGATTTGTAAAACTTAAAAATAAAATAAACCTTCTCCTACGCCTATACGTGTTGAAAAAGTACACACAAATCACCTGGTACACACACACAAAACTGCATTTACACACAAATCCGGTTACGAGTGCACAACTATTTTTGAGACTCATTTCACGCTTCCTGGAGCTCCCAGATTTGTGTGTAGATGGTGCGTTTACATGCTAGTAAAAGCTGGGACATCTGAGTTTTGCTCGGAGTCTAGTGTTTTTATCCTCTGACGTTTCTCACTGTGCTTGTGCCGAAGTAGCAAATACGTTAGTTCGCTGGAAAACTGTATATCTCAGCAATTCCTTATACTATCCTAAAATTACTTCTAGACATATTGTGCGTTTTTGAGCGGCACAGGAGACCAAGTGGTCTGAAAAAGGACCACTGGGTGGCGGAATGGTTCGCTAGCCGGAAAAATAGACAGGCAAACCCAGAAGCAAGACGGAGCGTCCCGGTGGTCTGTCCTCTGAAGTAAGTAGGAGCTAAACCTGCAGGCTTTGCTCTCCGATTATAATGAGACATGGAGTAAATAAATGATATCAGATTACGTTTTATATGTGTGGTATTTTGATACTCTGTCCTCCTCATATGTTTCTGTTAGCGGGAGCTAAAGTTTATGTCAGCTATGTTTACGTTAGCTGTTGGGAGCTAAGCGTGGATTTTTACTGTCACACAGTTTGATAGTCTGTCTTCAGTCTTAACTTTAACCCAGGTTGATCTGGTTTTATGATGCCGAAGTCGGCAAGCATCTTCAGGAGATTATGGCAGTTATAGATGTTGGTCACTATCACTGAAACCGTATTTTGTTGCTTCAGCAGTAATGAAGGTAGATCTGGACCTGCAGGAACATCATCTGCTGCTAGACTTTACTCACCATAACAAAGTGAAAGGTACTTCATTTATGTTGACTTTTCAACATACTTAAGGATTTAGTCTAATGTTCACACATAGGCCTGTCAGAATAATCAATTAATCGGATGATAAATTAAAACTAAGTCAATCATTTCCATGAGCCTGATTTATTGTTTCTCTTTTTTTCTCTCTTTCTACCAAAAACTGGATAATAAAAGTATTCAGTTTGGTACTTTGGTCTCAGTTAGACCTTATATTGAAAATAAATTTTGTTTAAAAATACTTCAAAATTCATTCGTTTTATTTATTCTGAATATTAAAAATGTCTTCCAGTTCCAGTGTTAAATGTTCATTAGAATCTGAGAATGTGTTGCATTAGTATTTCATCATTACCATTATATAACTTAAACATGACCTCAAAAGAACTATATTATCGTTTGTTGAGAACTTTGGAACAACTTATACAGTAAAATGTTTCATGGTGACAGACCTATTCACACATCCTCCAGAATCTTCAGATTAAACTGTTTGTGTCTGGACCCCATTTCATCGGCCCTTAAACAAATATATACCTCGTCTGCAAACCAGGACAAACCTGCTGCTCCTGTTTGTCTTCATTTCATGTTGATTAATGTAGATGGTAAAATGTATTCAGATGGTTTAGATTTTCACAAGCAGTAAATTTATTTCTCAATTGATATTTTGACACAATTGACAGCTAATAAACACATATTTAAAGAAAATAAATATTTTATGCATTTATAGCACCACTCAAAAATAGCTTCCACAGCAAAACATTTAATGTAAAACATTTGATCAACATAAAAATAAACATTTCTACATACATTGTGATGATTCAAGTCATTTTCGGGTTCAGTAATGTTCTGTCACAGTCAGGTCTGTCAGTGCATCAGCTGTTCAGGAAAATCAACATAATTTTTCTAACACTAACTGTCTATTTGTACTTTTCTCTGCATCTTCAGACAATCTGCAGCAGCTGAGATTCTGGGAGGTTCAACACCAAAACTTGATGCTTCAAACTGAGCCGTTAACTGGACCGAGGCGCCTTTCAAACTACAGTAGTTAACCTGCTCTGTTGGTAGATGTTATGGTGTCTCCTCAATCTGTACAGACTGACCTTGGTCGTCTTTGAATACACAGCTTTATGGTGTTTTCTTTTAATTGATTATAGTCAATATTTGAACATTCATTAAGTTTGAAGACATTTCATTGTTAACTTTAGGTAGCTGTGAATCCACCCATGTTAATCTGAACCTATTATGTTAAAGATTCAACAGATTTGTTGCATTCTTAAATATTTAATCTGTGCTTTGTGTGCAGTGAAATGAACATTAAAGTTAATTCAGGAAACACTTTTGTCATCTTCTTTCTACAGTACAAATTGAATGATGCCTCTATTAAAATCATATATTTGTGACATCAAACTTTGTTTCTGTCATAAAGCAGTGGTCAAACTATGGCTAAATGTTTGTAATTTACTTTCAACAAATGGAAACCAAAATGGTTTTAAAGTAAAGACACTAATACTCATCTACCTCACCACAGGTAAAGTTTCCACTGTATGCAAGTAAATGTGATTACGATTGAGTGAAAATTGTACAGCAGGGCTTCAACTCCAGTTCATAAGGATCGGTGTCCTCCAACCTTTAGATGTCTCTTCTTTAACACAGCTGAGTCAAATCATGAGGTCAGAGGTCATTAGCACGACTCTGGAGAACTTGACTGTCCTAAGCTACAATTTAATTCAGATGTGTTGGACCAGGATGTATCTAAATGTTGCAGGACACCAGACATCGATGCCTGGATGTGAGGATCCTGTTAGAGGATCAGTGTGTTCCTGCAGCAGCTCCATCGGATCAGAAGGTAGATGAGATCTGAAAGATCCTGATCCTCCAGAAAGTGAAATAACACCAGACCCGGTCCATCAGTCAGTCATTTCGTCCTGTGTAGAGATAAATATAAAATGTTGTTTATACACATAGAAACTCAATAAACTAAAATTGAAAGGCAATTTATTTCATTTAATTTTATTCACTTAGTGAATAAAGTAAAAGGCAAATCAGAATATCTCACAAACTATATATCAGTCAGCAACATGACTTAGGAATCTGATTGGAACCTTTTGGGCAAAACAGAAACTGTAAGAACCACACAGATAATTTTTATGGATTAAAGACTCAAACTGTGCTGAATGAGACAATAAAAATCCACGCTCAGCTCCCAACAGCTAACGTAAACATAGCTGACATAAACTTTAGCTCCCGGTAACAGAAACATGAGGAGGGCAGAGTATCAAAATACCAGAAATATAAAACGTAACCTGATATAATTTATTTACTCTATGTCTCATTATAATCGGAGAGCAAAGCCTGCAGGTTTAGCTTGTACTTACTTCAGAGGACAGACCACCGGGACGCTCCGTCTTGCTTCTGGGTTTTCCTGGCTATTTTTCTGGCTAGCGAACCATTCCGCCACCCAGTGATCCTTTTTCAGGCCAATTGGTCTCCTGTACTGTTCAAAAACGCACAATATGTCTAGAAATAATTTTAGGATATTATAAGGAAGTGCTGAGATCTACCGTTTCCAGCGAACTAACGTATTTGCTACTTCGGCACAAGCACAGTGAGAAACGTCAGAGGATAAAAACACTAGACTCTGAGCAAAACTCAAATGTCCCAGCTTTTACTAGCATGTAAACGCACCATCTACACACAAATCTTGGCGCTTCCCCGAATCGTGAAATGAGTCTCAAAAATAGTTGTGCACTCGTAACCGGATCTGTGTGTAAATGCAGTTTTGTGTGTGTGTACCAGGTGATTTGTGTGTACTTTTTCAACATGTATAGGCGTAGGAGAAGATTTGTTTTATTTTTAAGTTTTACAAATCGAGTATTACACACGCACAAATCTTTTTACGCACACACAAATCTTTTTACACACACACAAATCTTTTTACACACACACAAATCTTTTTACGCACGCACAGATATTTTGAGACTATTTTCACTCCATAAAAAACGATCTGCTGGGGCCACTAGCGGAACAAGTCAGAGTCGGGCCCTTTATACCCAAATAATAAAGCTCATGATAATTTAACTTTACAACATGGACATGTCCACAACAGCGGAGCTTACAAGTTTCACCACCACAGAGAGCGACTATATCATTTTGAAGTCCATCTGACATGAAGTACAACAAACCAGTTCAGAACCACGGATGGGTTCGGATCATTTTGACACTTTATTAATTTCAACTCAGAGCCTGGAGCAGCTAGCACAGGGGTGGGCAACTCCAGGCCTGGAGGCCCGTCTCCTGCAACTATTAGATGTTTCTCTACTTCAACACACCTGAGTCAAATAATGAGGTCGTTAGCAGGACTCTGGAGAACCTGACTGTTATGATGGTTCTGGTGTTACCCACATAAAAGTTTATATAGTCAGTCACACTCTCAGTCGTGGCATTGATGTCCCCTCCATGTAACTGGCAAAGAACAATACAATCTGTAGCCTCAAAACAACTCTTCCTCAGCTTTTGGTTACCACTTTGGTCCTTTTTCATTACAGATTGTCTCTGAACAAGGGCTTTATATTTTGAGCAGAGAAAAATAAAGTTGTGATCTGACTTACCCAGAGAAGGTCCTGCTTTAGAAATGTATAAATCCTTTACATTTGTGAATAAGAAACCCTATGTGTTTTTTTTTCTGTGGTAGAGCAGTTAAACTGAAAAGTCATGCACTAGGCTTGGGGACAAATTATGTTGATTGGCAGATCTCAACTTAAGGGCAAAGGTTCACCACAAAAGTAATTTTAAGTGACAAACAGGCCCAAGTCAATCCAATTCCACCCAGCTCAGTCTTTTGAAGTCTTTCAAATCCAGTTACAAACAGACTGGAACATCCATTGAGATTATAAAGTGTTTTCAATCTGTAAAACATTGTCCAGGCCAACAACAATAAATCTTCGCTCTGATTCACACTCAATCATAAAGAGACCATGAACCAAGATATGTCTACCCAGACCCTTTCCAAATAAATTAGAACGTCATGGAAAAGTTGTTTAATTCCCATAGTTCCATTCAAAAAGTTAAACTGTCATAGGTTATACATTCAGGGCCCACAGTTTGAATGATTTCAAGTACTTGTTTGTTTATTGTTACAAAATTTGGGCTTAGGTAAGGTAATTTTATTTATATAGCATATTTTCAGCAGGGAATTCAAAATCAGGAATTCAAAAAAATTAGAATATTGTGAAGAAATTATCCCAAATTTTAGAGGGCATGAATGTTGTAAATTGAGTGTGACACACTAATCATCTATTTTCAACCCACCAGTTGTAATTAAATTGCTTTGTTTTTGTTAAATTTTCTCAGTTCCGTCCAATATGGGGAAGTCTGTAGACCAAACAAAGGCCAGAAGACCATCATTGATGGGTAAGCCACTTAAGTTCATAGCTAAGGAGGCTGGCTGTTCACAGAATGCCAAGCCTGTCATTGGAAAGTCTAGTGGAAGGGCAAAATGTGGCAAGAGAAGATCCACCAGCAAAAAAAGATGACCATGGACTTCAATGGATTATAAAACAGAGAAGACTCAAGAATCTGGCAGAGATCCAGAAAGGGTGGAATGAGGCGGGAGTCCCAGTTTCAAAACCCACCACAATCAGACGCATCCGGGAGATGGGCTACACTATCAGTTTCTCCGGGTCAAGCCACTCCTGAACCTGAGCTAACATAGGAAGCTACTCAGCTGGGCCAAGGAGAAGAAGGGTGAGGCCATCAGCCAAGAGTTTGGAGGAGGACGGGTGAAATTTATTTTCAAAATATCAAATTGCGCAATTATATGGTCTCCTCTGTGGGTGAATGTTGAACAACTTTAAGTTTAATTACACACACAGTTATTTAAACTTAAATAAATACATTTTGTTCTACATAGCATTCACTCACAGAGGTGACCATATAATTGCACAGTTTGATGTTTTGATAATAAATTTGCTTAATCGAAACAGTAATTTCAAAAATACTGGGTTCTTTTATATTGAAATTGGTTTGTTTTGCAAAACTGCAGAAGAAACATTGTTATGTGTCATGTGAGTCACATGATCGGATGTTACCACTGATGGAAACCATGAGGAAGACAAGAAGAAGTTGGAAGATCCTTCGTGGCACAACATGCCAAAGTTATTCAATGACTTTTCACATGAACAAGCTTATTCATTCGCAAGTTTAATTGCGTTTCTTATTTAATGGAAACAGCGCAGCAGCAAAATTGTGTTTTTCGACATTAGTGGAACATTAACAAATTTTTGTGCATGTAGTAGAAACGCTGATAATGAAAACCTCGTATCTTTTTACTCTTTGTGTCGGTCAATCACATCCATTCCTAATAAAATGCATCAAAGTTTGTGGTTGGAATGTGACATAATGTTGAAAAAGGTGAAGGGAAAAAACTCCTCATACCAGAGCAATCTAGAAATTTTTAAGTGAACTCTGAATGGCTTCATGTTAATTCTGTGCAAAAATTATTAGAGCATTCCATCCTGATCACGCTGCTCTGAATGATTTGATCCACAGCCGGTCCCAAAGGACCACTGCGCTCGAATATTCAGCCATCAGTTACGCTGTGCTTCCCAGGCCAGGCTGACAGCTTGGCACCGCTCCACGTTTGTGTTTCCATTTGGGAGACATCCAAATAAAACCTTGAGAACTCAGCCAATCTCCTAATAAGCAATCCAGGAACTGTAGTTAGGCTAATATGAACTCATTCACTTGGGGGTGACCCAAGTAAAGACTTTTATTTCGCAGCCTGGAGTTCCAGCATCATCGTATTTCTCAGAGATGTGCTCATATCACATTATCAGTTGTTTTTACAGAACAACTGATGGTTTTGTCATTCAGTGTTTGAAGGAAGAGATTCAAGGATTCAAGGATTTTTTATTGTCATACCACCTTCGTTTGTTTGTGGTACAAAATTCAGACTCAGGTCCCAGATTAAGAAATCCATCCATCCATTTTCTAACACCCTTGTCCCTTAGTGGGGTCAGGAGGGTTGCTGGTGGCCATCTCCAGTGAACCTTCCAGGCGAGAGGTGGGGTACAGGTCACCAGTCTGTCACAGGGCAACACAGAGACAGACAGGACAAACAACCATGCAATCGCACACTCACACCTAAGGAGAATTTGGGGAGGCCAATTAACATGGCAGTCATGTTTTTGGACTGTGGGAGGAAGCCGAAGAACCCGGAGAGAAGATTAAGAAATTTAATACACAAATAAAAAATAAAGAAAGAAATATGTGTGATATATGGATTTTAAAAAAGTGTGTGTGTGTAAATAATTTATGAGATGAAGCTGTATTAGGTGCAGCTTGAGTTCAGGAGTCTGATGGCTGAAGAAATTGGTCTGAGGAAACTGTTCTGAGGCCGTTCAGAGCCTCAGAATGGAACAGCAAGACCACCAGGCTGTGGATGCTCCTCAGCCTCCTGCCTGAAGGGAGCAGCTGGAACCGTCTGTGTGCAGGAGGGGTG